TCAGTGAGCGCAGCGCGTTTAGCCACTCTAATATCCCTTCTTTTAAACAAAAGTGAATCTACTAATAAAAACCCAAATTTGGGCAGAAATTCATTCCACAGCTAAGCTCTGTCCCTACCTGTTGCAAAGGCAGGCAATGCGGAGAAGAGCATCCAATGTTGGCCCACCCTTACTGGCTGCCACGCTAGACTGGTTTTCGGTAGTATCACACTCTTCGATTGCCTTATCGTACCTGAAAGTTCACAAAAACCTGCATTACTGTAAAGGCCTCTGTAGACTTTTGCAAAAGAATAAAAAGAGGCACTTACCACATATGAGCGACTGTCATTCGATTTTGTGTGAGAGTTCCGGTCTTATCCGAACAGATGGTGGATGTCGAACCAAGAGTTTCCACAGCTTCCAGATTCTTCACCAAACAGTTCTTGCTGGCCATTCTCTTTGCGGTCAAAGTAAGACATACGGTTACGGTAGCAATGAGACCCTCGGGTACATTTGCGACAATAATACCTGAAACATGAATGCTGAGGGTTTTATTCAATTTTGCAATTAGCACTGTAAATGAATAAAACAAACCAATAAGGAAGACCACAGCAGTGAGCCAGTGATATCCAAGGATGAAAGCAATGATGAAAAACGACACTCCAAGGAATACAGCGACTCCTGTGATCAGATGGATGAAATGCTCGATCTCACGCGCAATAGGTGTCATTCCAGTGTCCAAGCCGGAAGCAAGATGTGCAATACGACCCATGACCTTGAACGGTAACATGTTAGGAATAAATATTAACTGAATCTGATACTTCCTCACAATTACCGTGTGGAAAACATACAGTATTATCTCCGGTATATATGACGATTCCCTTTGCGGTTCCTTCGACTGCGTTGGTAGAGAAGAAGGCGATGTTGCGAGTTTCCAGCGGATTCTCATTGGTGCAGTCGGGAGAACGTGATTGTGGCTCGGACTCACCAGTAAGCGACGAGTTATCCACCTAGAACCTTTCCTTAATAGGGGTACTGGCCGCGAGTATCAATGAAAAAGATCTTGACATGTGTGCATACAAAAGCCAGACCGAACCATGTGCAACAACAGGAGCTCGTGTAGGGAGTGCACCCTCTAGCAATTCTTTTTTTCAAAATTCTTGGAAGGGCGAAGACATAGGTTACAATTTACAGATCCACTTTTTTGCATAATTTGACCCTCGCCACTAAAATACTTTCACTTTAGCTAGTTTCATTTCGTTGTGCACTTTTAGAAATAAAGATAACTACCGGAACGCATCGAAAGGTTGAGGTTAAATATTTTTGCAAAGCATTCATTGTGATAAATTTACGTAAAAGAACTTCTTTTGCGTCAAAATTCGATCTTTTCGAAACTCTGAAGTATGCTTGTCTACTTTTTGCCAGACAATGTATGTCAATATGTCCGCTTTTAGCCCTGTTCGAGAAAATTTGGCGAGCAGTTTTTTCAGTCCCATAACTTCTCTGAACTTATCACCTACTACATTGCTATAGAACCGCCGTGAAAGGTACACAAGGAATGAGTACAAACCTAAATCGTGCAAGAATCTTTCGGAGGGAGGTCGCTCTTCTTCTTGGTTAGTTGGCTTCTGCATATGCCAATCACATAAGTCATCATGTAATTAGTGAAGTTTTGAAATAAAGTTATTACGTTCAGGTTGGAGCTTTCCTGTGCTACGTCGCTTACTCTGTCGACTACTTCACCATGGAGTATCCATCTAAGGACAATGTGTGTATTTTTCGTGCATAGTGTCATGAAATCTTCATGTTGTTATCGATCTCTTTTACAGTTGTATCTCGGTATAGTACTGATGACTGTCGTCGTGATCACCGGATGTTTCCAATACTACCAAGAAAGCAAATCGAGCAGATTCATGGATTCCTTCAAGAACATGGTTCCCACGGTATGTCGTACCAGCTGCCATGAATTAGGGGAAAATTGAGAAGGGAAAATCCTGAGGGATTTCCTACTCCCACTTCCAGTGAGGCTTTGCTTTCCATAAGTAATCAATAACCATTCGAAATTGTAGTTCGCTCTCGTTCATCGTGATGGACAGAAGCAACAAATCCGAACGGAGGAACTGGTCGTCGGTGACATCGTCGAAGTGAAAGGCGGTGATCGCGTGCCAGCCGATATCCGCATCATTTCCGCTTTTGGTTTCAAG